TTGTGGTTATCCAAGTAGTCAACTGTACAAACACAGTTAAGAATTTGGATTTTCCTGCTTGCTCTTTCCTTGCATATTATAGGTAAAGATATATCAGCAATTTGTAAGAATTAGGCCCAGAGAAATATCATTGTGACTGTTGTGAGAAAACAATGGAATAACTGAGATTATTTGCTCATCTTGTGATAAGAGCCACAATATATGCGTACTGATTTTACTCTTTATTTTCTCTGTATGTGCTCGTTGCTTGTCAGTTTATTGGTCTGTAAGAAGACCCCAAAATAGTAGTAATTAATCTTTAGTGATACTGAGTATTCTATTAGCTGAGAATAATAACTTTACTTCCCCTCTGAGGGCTTCTTTAACCTTTGTGAAATATGAAGTATTGTTCTCAATTAGTTTACAACAAGGAGAGAAATACAGAGATAAACTGAAGTCATGGGAAAGTTACTGTAAGCAATCCAGATCAAATGTTTAATTGGTATAAATTGGCCTTCCTCAAATTTTTGTGTGCAGTTATAAGTATCCTGATGAAGATTAGTTTATTTGCCATCTCTACCAGTGATTTGAGATTTTTTTTCAATAGAAATGTTTTTTTCCTCTTTTTACTAGATGACTGTCTGCAAGACTCATGACTGTACCTCTATAGCACGCTCATAGGCATCAATTTTTTCAATAATCCAAAAAAGAATTCTTGTGGACATACAGCAAAGAAGGATTATACAAATTCAAATTTGTATATATGATAAATGTACTTATCACTCACCTTTTGGCAGCATTACCTCCTCTCTGCTTGCTCATCCATGTATCCTGATGCTCTAAAGCCATGAATAGAGTCAATCAGTCCCTGTAATTTTAAAATCAGACTCTTTTGGTTTGGACTGCTTTTAGCCAGAAGTATAATTAACTTGTCCAGTTGCAGGCCTACCACATTTCTGTGCAGAATGTGGTTCCTGTATAGTTGGTTTCTGACACTGGAAGGTGGTTATTCCTTAAATTCCAAACGTGTATGGAACATACTTTCTTATGCTTCTCTTACAAGACATTATGCACATGCTACTATGTGTAGTGAAGTCTATCACTCTTCTAGAGATTACTGAATCATAATTAAAAATGTAATTTGTGTCCATAATATAATTTACGAAGATTCATCGTTAAACAGTGTTCTAACATCTTTTCAGACACTTTCTAAAATTTCAGCTTGCATAAGCAGTAGATAAGTGAAATGTATTGAAAAAGATTTTTCATAATGAGTAGCGTATTTTTAATCATTTCTCCTTTACAAGCTGGGAAATAAACTATTTTTGTATATTTTCTGAAATAACTTCTTTGACTACAACATGAATTGCTTCTTGAATGTGGAAAAGGTAGGGGAAAAATCTCACAGAAGTAATTGAAGCTAAATAATTACTTGTTATTTTTATATATTACTGACATTCTAGATGGGGAATATATGTTATTGAAAAATTATAGTATGCTATAGTATATTATTGTAGTATTATATTATTAACATTATATTAACATGTATATGTAATATATATAGTTACATGTAGAGTATAATATATCACTAGTATATTAGAGTATATCGTAGTGATTCATGTAAGCTATTAGAGCTTCTTTTTCCCCTCCCATGAAAAAAAGAAATGCTAAAGTTCCTGTACAACTGATCAGAGTTTGTCATTTCATTTACATAATCTTTTCTCTGTATGGGGGGAAATGATTCTTTCATTTCTTTGTATTCTTTGGATAGTGGAACCAGATGAGAATAATGCTTGTTTTGGCACTTCCCCAAAGGGAAATATAGATTTTGATGTTGGTGAAGATGACTTCAGCAAATAGTGCACATAAAAATCTAGCATTTCGTGCAAGTTCATAAGAAGAAACTACAAAATGGAATAACTTTTATGAAGAAAGTCTTTGTCTTATTTGGCGAATAGGTCCCTGCGCTACCATAATAATGCCCAGTCCTACAACTACATACACTTATTTGTTCAAAGTGAATATTAACATTGTAATTTACTATCTAATTACGATTTTATAGTAATAACTGAAAATGTGTTCTTAAAAAGCATAGCGTTTGCTGCCTCACACAGTTTGTAGCAGTGCAGCATGTGATTTTTTTGCCAGTACTCCCTCAAAACAGATTTCTTAAATCTTGACTTTGATTTTAACAATTTTCATACTTATACCTTTCCATTAAAAAAATAAATTTTTTGAAAGCTGCTATTAGCAATCCTGCATTACCATTAAATCATAGCTGATGAATAATTAGTTTTAATGGTTGCAGATTTAAGCCCCATTATTATTTTGTACAGCAAACCTTGTTCATGTAAGAGGCCCCTCTGCATTTTATTTCTCAAGAAATATGCTTGAGTAATTTGCAAGCTGCAAAGGAACGGCTTGCTTTTGTAAAAGACTGTTGTTTTTGTCAGCTAATCTGAAATACTTTTCACTTTAAGCCACGGAACTAAAATCCATTTGAAAACCAGCTAAAACAAGATTAATATTTAGAAATGAGGCATGATTGAAATGTTGACTTGCTTGTGAAAATTACTAGAAGTTGTAATTTTGAAAGAGAAAATTATTCTGAATTAACTTCAAAAAGAAGCTTTTATTAGTAATATCAATTATACTTATTTTATAGATTTTATTAAATTAGTCTTAGAACAACAAAATTTTCCAATGAATTCAATTTTATTAATTTTCATTTACTTGAAGTTTATATAAATTATAGTTGTATAAAATGATACCGATACATGTAAGAATTAATATTAGGTAACTGACGAATATTAGGGTGTACAAATTCTAGAGCACCTCGAAATTATGTGGTGACTGTCAGTAGATACATCTCTATTTTAGTAGTCAACATAAAATATGCCAAAGTGTTTGTTGTATTAAAGATGTCCTGGGCTTGTAGGGTTTTTCCACAAGTGTGGATTGTGTGTGTGATAACTCACATGTGCCTCTGCATTTAACCAGTCACGCTGTTGGGGCTGATAGGACATTTTTCTCTGGTAGGCCGAAGAAATCACAGTTCTGCAACTTCTTGTTTTGTCTCATGAAGCTGAATATACCTCAGCAGCCAATTATTATTTCATATGCAAAACCCAATTATTGTGAGTTCCGCTAACTGTCTCAGATGTTGAGAAGTAATTCAGCAATTGCTGCCTGGTACAGCCTAAAGTTTTTTTTCCCCAGTATTTGTGGATAGAGATGGTATAAAAAATCCATTTTTTGTGTGCTGCTTAGAGAGTATTCACTGTTTAATTTTATCAATAACATTTATGTTTACATTTCCTTGAAACAGCAGAGTATGTATGCTTTTGCATCATTCTATTCTTAAAACCTTCTCCATTCGCTTTGCTTCTGATGGTTCCTGAGGAAACCATCGTTTCTGATCTTGTCATTTATGCTGTCACCAGACAAAAGGATTTAGAGTGGGATAAACCAAATGGTGGCTGAGGAATGGCTGATATTTCATTGGTCTTTTTGCTGATTGTTTTCTGGTGAAGGAAATGAATAACTGTATACCATTCTTTATTGTCATCAGCTGTATGTACCTGTTTTACTGCTTATGTTTTTACTTGTGGGTTGTATTTAATGGAGTGCTTGACATCCTGTGTGTATGTTGGGATGCAGCTGGATTGTGCTTTGCAGATTTTGTGGCATCTTCTGTTCCTGACCCTGCTATGTACTTTCGAGGGCCATTGATAATGCGTAAAATTGAGAATCTGAAAATCTGTCATTTTTTTGTGGGAGAGAATAATGTATGAGTTGAAGTTTGAAGGTAATGCTGAATTCATACTGGCTCCATGAACTGGGTTGGATTCTGGGCATCGTGGACATTTTTTCTGTTATATCAATTTCAGAGTGATGTAAGGGTTGCTCTTTGCAGCTCTAAACAACCAAAAGCAGACCCTTAGGCTGGAATGAAGTGGATGACAATATTACCTGAAGAAATAGCATTCCTCTGGATTGTTTTATAATAGCCTGGTCCTAAGGCTGGAATTTTGGCTGGAATGGAACTTAGTCTAGACAAGTGTTCTTTCAAGCCAATTTAAGGATGTGTGGGATAAGCATCCTCAAATTGTGTGGGACAGACTGGGTTTGTTGAAATGTTCTGAGGCTGAGCAGCCAATAGATGTAAGCTGGTGGCATTATCACTGGAGATGGCTTCAGGTTATGCTGGGGTACTCAAGCAGCTTCCAGATATTCAGCAGGGTTTTCAAGAGTGGTGGAGCTTTTTCAATATAAAAAGAATATGATTCATTAATAAGAACAAAACCAAATGGAGCTTTTGTGCCACATGTGGCAGTGGGGCTTTGTGTCTTGGGCAATGCGCTATTCAAAAATTAGTAAGGAATCAGGGGGAAGGCCTCCTGGGAAAGCTAATGTATGAGAGTCTGCTGATAATCCTGCTGTTATAGGGGATAAAAAATTTAGTTGCAGAGAAAAGTTGTAGTATTTCTCATTCCTCAGAGGGACTTTGTTCCTATGAAAATAAAGCTAAGACAGCTGCAGTCATTAGAGAGACATCATCATTTTGCTTGTAAGGTCATCTCTTCTGTCGAAAGTATTTTGTCACAGGACAGAGATGGCTACTTTCACTGCCAAAAAGCCACTTTAAAAGATTGACAAGAGAGATTAAAGAGGATACAGGAACTTGGAAGAAGTTCTTTTAACCTTTTAATATGGTGCCATTTTGGCAGCAGTGAGTCTGTGGTAGGATTAGTTAGGGACCAAGCATCTCTGGAATTGTGTTCCTCTTTTTTTCCTTTTTTTTGTTTCTTTCCATTTAAGGCATCAATTAAGAGCAATTTCACCAGGGCAGTAAAGCAAGAAAGTAAACAGTAAATAAGCAGCAAGCAAAATTAAAAACAGTAATGAGCCTTATGAACATGGGGGTGTTACAAGGCTTGAAATGCATTTATTTTGGAGCTTTGCATGTTCTGGGAAAACATAATGACTTTGTGAATGTATTGTCTCATTTTACATTGCAGAGATTCCATTTATTGGCCCTGGAGACTGACAAGGAACCGACACCTGTGCCCAAATGTTTTCTGAACCTTGGCAGCAACAGGCGTATTCATTATGCAGCAGTTGCAGATCCAAGTGTGCTCAAGGCACGGGAGAGCAGCAACCTTCTCCCTTGCAAGGAAAAACAGGTTAAGTAGCAAAACAGCTGGTGCAGTGGAATCCCTAACATGTTCCATCTTCAAGAAAACTGGTGCTTCTGACTGTGTGTCACAAGTGCAAGCTGCAATTTATGGTAAGTTTGTTCTGACAGCTAAATGCTGGGCACTGGAGATCTCATTAGAATTGGGAAACCTCAAGGTGCTTCATTTCTCTGTGCCAGTTAAAGCAATTAATAAATTAATGCTTACAGCACCTTTTAACATGGATCTCAGCTACAGAGAGCATTTGCACTTTCGGACATAAAAACATATATATGTTTTTTTTTGGTCCTTAAATTCAGTTCAGTGTAGAAAGGCAAAAAGTAAAGTTACATGTTCTGTGTTAAATAAGGTTTATCATTACTATGAATCATGTAAAAAAATAGTTCAACGAGAAATTATGTACAATTAAACAGTTATATGTTATCTGAACATTGGCAGTGGTCAGGTTAGTGTCCTACCTGTCACTAAGTTTAAGGTTGATTACTTCACCAAAATGTCAGATTTCCCTTACAACAGCATTTTATGTAAGTGAAAATCCTGGTTTGTAACATCACTTCCATATTTTGTGTGCCCATATCTACAATAAGGATAGAATTTCATTACAGTAAGGCCTGACGTAAATGCAAATGGATTTTATTTTTAAATAGGACTGTCTATATAGACTATAAAAGGAAAGTTTTGTGAATACGGTATTTCAGGAGCACTGTGAAGCAATTAGGATCATCCATTTAGTGAATTTTGGTGGTCAGAAAGGCATTAGCTAGTATCAGGCTTTCTCATTCATCATACTCCTTTAGTTACAGATAAACAAGGTGATACTGTGTCTTGCTAATTCTCAGATATCATTATATAATATGATTGTGTTCTTGGGAGACTGTTGAAGGCCATTTCCAATTACTATTGTATATAGGAAGCATTGGTTTTAAAATAGTGAGGTTAAGAGTGACAGCAAACAAAATGCAGTAGGGTCTTTGTGTGTGCGCTATGCTAAGACCATGTTTTTTTTTCTGTGTGTTTATGTGTGTGTGCTGCAGGAGAGAGTGATTTGGTGTGTTGAAAGCTTCTACTGCTCATGACCATAAGAAAGGTATTTGGCTTTTTAAGATAGAATTTTTGATGTCAAGATCGCTGGGTTCATACTACTAGCCAGATGGGTTTGGAGGTGTGCCAAGAAACTAAGAGCAATTGATAAACCCCAGAAAAGCAGTAAGTGAAAAGCTAGAAAGCTTTTGCAAATTTTAAGAGCTAGGATGGTATACACAGGGATGATCGTATAATTCTGAAAGAGAGCTTGATTACTTCACAAAGAGAGTTATGTGCCAGCATGCTAATGGTCAAACCCTTAGAGTTTTTCAGTTTGCTTCTAATGAGTGCCCTAGAAGTTTGGATCTTGATACGAACATTATCTCTCTCTAAGATGATTAGTTTGAAACCCTAAATGCTGTTTCTGTATGTGTGTGTGCATATCCTTTAATCTAGATTCTATTGGTCAGATTAGTCACATGGATGAGGTTTTACAGACTTGGTCCCAACTCTAATGCAGTGGATTATATTGACACGTTTGCTGTGTCATTGGTCGAAATGAATTCAGCTGTGTTATGCATGGAGTTAAATGTCAGCTGTTGTTTTTCACCAAACAACCAAAGGACAAATCTAAGGAATAATTCTATATTCCACTGCTTTGAACTTCACTGACAAGCGTTATCTTTCTGATGCTGAGTTGTTCTCAAGTTGTTGGATTCCCATGTGTTGTTAAGCTGCAAGCTTTGGCAGCAGAAAAATTCTCTCTGAACCTTTGGGGAAAATAGAATAAGAAACTTTCTATAGGCTTTATATGCATCTTGAATATGTGTTCTTGAACTCTTTTCCTTTACCATTTTCTAATACTCTTCTTCTGTATAGCCTGTAAGAAAATAACAGATGCATTGCTTATCACATGTCTAACCTTTCCTCTCCTCTTTCTTTTCTGTAAATTTGTGTGAATTCCTACTTGGCATTATAGGTGTGCTTGATTCATTTCAAGAATATCAGCACTCCCACTGATAACCAAAGGACCATTAGTATGCAATTATATGCACATATCCAAGTACCTTGCTGAGTTGTAGCTTATGCATTCTGAAATATGGACATTCTTGCAAAATCCATTGATTTTTAACCCACATCAGTTGAACTGTTTCCATTTTCAGTAATGAGATTTTGAACAGACTCCATATGAAAACAGGTTTAAGTTACTTAGTACAAGAGCTGACCCTGGAAAATGCCTTAAAAAATGGTTGCACGTTGTGAAATTAATGTTAATAAATAGCAATTCCAACCTGTAAACTATGGCAAATGCCACAGTAGTCATCACAGCTGGCATGTGAATGGCTTTTCATGACTGTGTGCTTCTGATTTATCACTTGTTCACTGGCACTGAAATCAGTTTAACAGATATGTGCTTTAGTATTGCATAGAGAGAATTTCATTAATGTCTTGAAGTTGCAAAGCTAGTAACTTCAAAGTTAGGAAATATTAGAATTAAGTTCCTAACCTTAATTCATGTCCCTTGTCTATGCTTACAGACATATGATGCTAACTACATGATCAGAACAGTGTGTGTTTCTGGAGGAACAAACCTGATTTGGTACATAAAACTAAATTTTGTTAAGTGAGCAGTTAGCCATTACTTTTTTCTTCCTTGGTTAAGGTGTAATCTCAGTCTGTGTTTACTGTACACTGTTAGTACTGTGCTTTGAATACAGTGATTGTTAGGGAACTTTTTCTGTGGCTGAAACTTTCAGAAAATGGTGATTTTCTGGAAGCAAGCACCCAGGAGAGAAAATGGTATCCCAATTTGCTATAGCTGTTTAAAGGGCGAATGAAAACTGTGTGTTATAATTAGAAGTATAAGCAGCTGATAAAGCCAATTCAGGATTCAAGTGTGATCTAAATCTGTAAAAGATTTGTATTAATGTGAAAGGGAAAATATTTTCTAATCATAGAAGCTGAAGTTGTATTGTGCTAAAATTTTTTTTCTGTGAGAATAAATGGTTTTAGTGTGTATGATTCTCTTTGCACATGTGGGTATGTGGGTACTGTACCTGGTGAGGCAGGAGGAAAGTTTGCTTCTCTGGAATGTAACATTATTAATGAAATTAATTTGAAATGAATATTTAGATATAGGTATAAATATATGGAACCAGAAATAATGTTACTTGTGAAGGCTTCATGCAGTTGTGTCAAAGATTTTGACTTACTGTCCTACCTACTAATTTGAAAGATTTTTACAATAATAATAAAGAAGAAATCTGGAATAGTGTGCTCCTTTATATTATGTTTGTAAGAGATTAATTAAATTCATCATATTGTTACAGAATTTAGCTAGCAATTTTCAAAATGCTAAATGAATTGGAAAAACTTTGAAAACAGTATTTAGAAATTACATATTGAAGTATTTTTTTTCCCAGAATTATATTTCTTACTGTATTTATATTATAAGCAATGTAAAATTAATTCAGTTAGGTCACATGTTATTGATTGCTATTCATCCTCCACGTTTATTTATAACACATACCTTTTTCATGCTTCAACTCTGTTTATGTTTTTTCTTGGCTCAGTATCAGTAGCATTGATGCTTCTGGTGGTATCACCGTAACACAATTCAGTAGAACTTGATCTATCTTAAATAGATCAAAACTACTAGGTATCAAAGAAAAGGTATAATTTTCTATAATCAGAATTTGAGTGTTGAATCTGATTTAAAATCTTATTCCATGGTGAAAAATCTGAACCTGTTGCTGAAGTTGTTGTTAGCTTTATGAGGAGGGGATTGCATGGCAGAAACTCTGAAAAACTGTGTAGATGACTGGGAGGGCAGGAGAATTGCTGGAAACGGCTTCACTGAATAAATGTAAAATGTCATGTGTCATAAACAGGGCTGATATTGGGCTATCCCGGGAGGAAGAATTAAGGAAAAAAAAAAAAACAAAAAGTTTAAACCTCACCCTGTGAGTGGTATGGATTAAAAAAAAAACAAACATAATCATGAATAAGAATCAGAATCAAGAGAGGTGCTGCATCCAAAAGCCATTTTAATTGTATGGCTTTATCTTTGCGCCTGTTAAAAATGAAGTGTGCTTCTCTGTTGTCCTCTGTCTAGATCTCAGAGGCATTTCTTCATAGTAGCTCTGTATTTAGGCAGCTACCTCATCATTATTCATCTAAATCATCAAAATTTTAAAAAGGACTAAAAACCCTGATGTGTTATAAATAAAATATGGGAAAGAGGGTAGTGACAGAACAGGAGTTATGTATATTTGAGAGAATACCCACCAGAAAGCCTTCACATGATATGTGCAATATTTTCCTCTTCTTTACATGTTTTGAGCAGAGAATAAAATGGGATATGATCAATAGTTAGAGCTGAAATCATGTAGCAGTTGTGTGATGGTATATATGCTCCATCTTTTTTCCAAACTCAAACACTTTGTATTTCTTCCACTGTAATTGCCTCTGTTCTGTGGCTTTCCATAGTTGTAAATTAATTCTGTCAAAATTACTCTCTCCCACTCTCAAATATTAGCATCCTTATTGTAAATTGTAATTCTCTTATTTCCACGGTTGATACTGTGGTGTGTCCACCAAGCACAGTATCTGGAGACACACATACATCTTCTTGGAATAGTTTTCTTGTACACTCCCCCACTTTTATTGGTATAGCTGATTTCTCTTGGCACTGAGCCCAGTTTGGTTTAATTTTTGTTTATTCTGTATGGACTCTGCTTTGAGATGGGCACCATATAAATTAATAAATAAATTCAATATATGCTTGCTTTTAGTAGGTTGCTTGGCACATCTGTTTTTCAGAGGTTTCTAAATCTTCATGATCTGCATAAGATGTCTCCAGCTACACAGGATTAGGGAGAGTATCATATTTTTAACATGTACAGGGTTTCCCATTAAAAAGTCATCATTTACTAACAGTTACAGTGCTCTGGCATATTGGGTACTGCAGTATGTCTCAATAGTTGGAATGCAGAATAATGGTTGTATTTAAGACACTATGGGTATATTAACTGTGGTAAAAACTTGTCTTTTTAATGCTGAAAGCTGT